TGACGTAGATGCAATCATGCCCGCGGTCGGTCTTGGGGAGGCCGCACACGAAGTCCATGGAGATGGACTGCCACCGGTGAGTTGGGATGGGCAATTATTGGAGCTTGCCGGGTTTGGCCCAGTTCGAGGGGTTGACAGCTTGACACGTGGGGCACGAGCGAATGTATGCCTTAACGTCGGCGAGTAGGGAAGGCCAGTAGAAGTAGCGGGACATGGTGTCGAAGGTCTTCTGGAAACCGAGATGTCCTGCGGTCTTGGCGTCGTGGTGCTCGGCCAACAGCTGAGTACGGAGGCCTCGTGCGTCGGGGATGCAAAGTCGGCGAGTGCCTTTGGTATCGATGTAGAGGAGATTGTTGTGAAGGGAGTAGTCGGGAACTGAGTCAAGATCGCGGAGCTTGTTGTAAATGGTCTGGGCAGGAGAGATAGCCTTGGGTGTATCGATGATGAAGCGATGGAAGGAGTTGAATATGAGTCATGGTGGCGTAGACTTTCTCGGGGGGCTTGTGGTCGGGTMGTCGCGAGAGGGCATCGGCAACGTGGTTGCTTTTGCCGGGGGTGTGGCAAATGGTGAATGTGAACTGGGCAAGGAAGTCTAGCCAGCGGGCTTGGCGTGGAGTGATATCTTTCTTGGAGAGGATGGAGGAGACATCGTCCTTGTGGGTGAGTTCGTGGAGAGGGTACGAGATCTCGGAAAAGTTGCGAATGAACGGGCGGTAATAGTTGGCAAGGCCAAGGAAGGAACGGAGTTGGAGGAGGGTCTTGGGTGGGGGGTACTCGACGAGGGCTGTGACCTTTGAGGGGTCCATACGGATGCCTTCAGCGGAGACAATATGGCCGAGGTATTCGAGCTCGAAGTGGCAAACGCACATTTGCTGAGCTTAGCGTAAAATTTTTGCTCTCGGAGGATCGCGAGGACTTGGCGGAGGTGCTGAAGGTGGGACTCAAAGGTGGGGCTGAAGACAAGGATATCATCAAGGTAGACAACGACACAGACTTCGAGGAGGTTGCGGAAGATGTGGTTCATGGTGGATTCGAAGGTAGCGGGGGCATTGGTGAGTCCGAATGGCATCACGAGGAACTCGTAGTTCCCGAACCGAGAGCGGAAGGCGGTCTTGTGAGTGTCCTCCTCGCGGATACGGATCTGGTGGAAGCCACTACGAAGGTCGATCTTGCTAAAATACTTGGCTCCACGGAGACGATCAAGGAGCTCGGAAATCCGAGGTAGGGGGTACTTGTTCTTGATCGTGATCCGGTTCAAGGCGCGGTAGTCTGTGCACATGCGGAGTTCCGAAGTTCCACCTTTCTTGACGAAAAVGCARYTRGTTCCGAAGGGGGATGAACTTGGCTTAATGAACCCTTTTTCAAGGTGTTCACCGAGTTGCCGTTTCATTTCTTCGACTTCGGGGACAGAGAGTTGGTATGGAGGGCGGCAAGGTGGAGAATGTCCGGGTTCCAAATCGATTGTATGCGATACGCCACGATCCGGAGGTAGTCCGGCGGGTAAGGACTCGGGAAAGACGTCCCTGAACTCGTC